ACACAAAAAAAAAAAAAAAACATGCAGTGAATAAACTGTTATGTTGCTTACATGGCCCACTAAGTGTACTGACAGATGAAGAAAGAACCAGGTTTCCTTTAAACTAGACATATTTTCCTAACAACTTGGCCATTATTATGTAATGTTGTTTAGGCTTTAAACTATTGGAAGTTTTACTGAACTTTGTAACGTAAGATATGGTTTAAAATATATGTTGCCCCAACGTCAGACAAGCTTTTTATGTTTTCTTTACATCTGGTTAATTAAACCAAGTGTAGGAAAACAAATGTGTGGCACCATTAGCTTGATGTTGACACAACACAGGAAATCCCATAGAGGCACTAGTGGAAATTAGCATTATTATTGTATTGGTAATCTAGTAAGCAAAGGTTATTTATAAGGTAATGATTCTGCATTAAACACTGCTAAATACTGATGTTTTTATTGTTGCATGACAATAATATTTAAATACCATAATATGACCAAAGTATACGATGATGTGTGACAAAGTTTGCTTTTGAGGGGAACTTTGGACAAACTTTCAAGGTGGAACCATTGTTTATTGTGATAAATTATTAACTTTATTAATAAAGCTGAAAATTGTGGTTTATATCATATTTTTTGTTATTGCCATTTATAAAACAAAACAGGCATATGGTGCGGTACAGTGATTTAACCATAGATAGTAGGTTTTTTTTTCTTTGCATCATACGTTGGAGTGACTCTTACCAGAGATAAAATCACACCCAGCCTCTAATGGTTTATTACCTTTTTAAGACCTTGTGGAGGCAACTGTAGAAAAAAACACCTTCTTTTCAACTTTCTATTTGTGCAATAAGGCCTACTTTTGCTGTGCTTACTAATGCAGAGCAACTGGACTATATGGGAGTATTCAGAACTGTGTGGAATGAACTTTTTTTTTTTTTCCATGATTCAAAAAACCAGAGTTGTGACTGGGACAGCCAGAATAGGGTACTTCCATTAACTGTTAAGGTACCCTAATCTACACAGTTCTTTACAATGAGTTTCAGTGACTGCTACATTTCTTTTTCCTGACTATTGAACTGCCTTCTAAACACCTCCACTCCTGCCACTGTTCTTGAATATAACACACCTCTCAGAACACCTACCGTGTTAAGTTGAAAGATGGGGTACCCCTCATTCAAAGTAGACAGTGAGTAGGTTTAAAGTGGCGAGTCTGTGGCAGTTTCCCCAAGAGGTTTCGGTCCCAATAGTACAGTTTCAGAGTGTATCACTTCCATACAGGCCCAAAACCGTTGAGTACAGTATGCAAAACCTGACATTTCCTTTTAAAACATAGGGGGCAGTCTGGAAATTACTGGACCATTCAAACCAGGGACTGTTCTGTACATCACGTAGCCTGAAACACTAGAATTATGCATCTGCATCTGTTTAAAAAAAAATCCAGGAACAAATGTGAATATAACTACAATATGAAAGTGAACATTTCACTAGTGTTACTTACATACTGCTTTCAGAATCTCATGATGCTCATCTGTGAATTTAAAAGATTGCATTAGATTACATTATCTATGCAAATCTAACATGGGCAAATTGTCAAAAAAGCGCAACTATAATTAACCTTGTGTAGATCTAATTTCTTAAAAAGGTACTCAGTTTCTTTTTAGTGAAAAGGAAGCATGGTTAATGGCCGTGGTCTCTATGGCTTTACTAAGGTGCTGTTTCCTGTGAACTATAGCCTTATAAGAACATTCTCACACCTAACACTATCAGTAACATGCCACAGGTGTATGCACAGCAGATGAAAGAATCGCAAGTGGTCAGATTTCACATTGCAAATTAGCAAGTAGGATGTTCCAGTTTTTTGTATTTCTCAGAAACACTTAGGACACCTTGGACACTTTAACTGTTGATGTGGACACAGAACTTTAGTTAGTCTGTCTTTGACATGAATAAAAGAACTAAAATCATTAAACACATCAAGGCTGAATTGAATGTATAAGCACTTGTTGTAAAACGTAATGGCACTTAATGCAAAGAATGAACTAGAGTAAGTGTGAATTCATTTCTGAAGGCAGCAGTAGAAAAGCTATGCACTAACTTGCCGGGATTGCTAATGCTAACGCCCATTCTAATGACACTGATTAAATTATCATCTGTGGTTATCATAAGCATGTCAGTATTGTTTCACAAGTAAGACTGTTTTCACACCCAGTACTGTGCAAAAGCCGGTGCACCTAAGCATGTTGTTGAAGATCACTAATCTCGCCAATATGTGTGTTTTTTGCTAGTGCAAAACACTGTATATCAGTAGAATAGATGCACGAATACATACAGACAGTAAAAAGAACTTCTTCTTTGAAAAAAAGGTTAATATCATATTTCTCTGTTCCATATCCCAAAAAATTTAGTTTTATCAACAGATCTCAAACTAACAAAACATTATTTTTCTGAAACAATGACATCATACATTTGATATCTCTCAAAAACAACTCTGAATGCCCAATATAATAATTAATATTTCAAACTGAATGTGCAGCAGATTTAACAGGTCATAAGCCAACTGATAGATGGATGCCCTGAACACTAACTTAGCATAAGCCTATTTTTACATTTGTAATGCCCTTGCATGCTAGTTCTACTCAAAATTCACTTTGAATGAAATGTTAAGTGTTATGCATCGTTTTCAGGCGTAGGCTACCGTAGGCCTACTATCTTATTATTTTTAAGATCTGAAATGGATCTGAAATGGATAATATGTTGCTATACTGAGAAAACATAGTGCCACTATCTCAAGATCTTAAGAGAACTGTCTTTGGAAAACATGTGGTGGCATGATAATGAAATAAATAACTTGAGATCTTTAAAAAACAACTAAAATGAACTATTCATTACTGGAAAATGATGTCAATAAAATTTGCATGATGGGCCTTTTAGGCCTGCATCAGTGTAAGCTGTTTGATGCATTTGACCATGAAATCTCTCTAACATCACACTGAAATTGGTTTTCTGCAAGGAGACATGTATTATGTGACCACAGTAAATAATGTTACATTGTGTTGGAAGACAGTCATAGTGATTAACTTCCGATCTGAATCTGAAAAAATGACAGCTAGTTCATAGCAGAATTTCATGTGTGAAAATGCTGCAAATCTACCTGTTATATCTGGAGAGACTCTTAAATTAGAAAACCTGCTTATCTGGATCGATTTCAGCAACAGTATTACCACTGCCTCCCACGACCTCCCATGGGTGTCAAGAACCAACATGTTAGAAGCCTTTGCACCAATTATGCAGAAGTTCATGCTAGCGTGCAAATTGTTGAGATCAATTTCTCAATTTCAACAATCAGATAAAAAGGCTTAAACCACTGAGCCCAAATGACAGGTTCTTGCAGCAGCCTATTGCACCTTTAAAAGATTTCTGGTTTCCGGCAATGCTGTACCTTTGCTACAGAGAACATAGCCTAGCAGTAAATCAGGAGTATACTCTGCATGTCGTGTGGCTGTTTCCGCTTCTTTAGAAGGATTCTGTGGTATCAGATAGAGATAATGATCATTCTAAAGAATGAGAGTGGGCAAAGTTGTGAAAAGAACACATTTGACCCAATGGCCTACCCATCCAGCATGAAGCACCCCAAAACAGATGAATATAACACTCTCTAATAAAGGTACTAAATTGTCAATATTGGTACCCCTCAAGTCTCTGGACTGGTACCGGCAAAGGTGCAGCTTCAGTACCTTCAGATAAGGAAGATAATTGAACCAAATTCCTTTACAGTTGTATTTTTAACTCCATACAATCCTGTCTTGAGACCATTTATTTTACTTCTCTATTTTAAAACTTTACATCATGTGACCTTGTCCTTAGGAAAGTATACCTTTTAAACTAATTTAAGGTACACAGTCAGACCTGAAGACAGGACTTGAGGGTACATTCATATTGTTTGTAACTTGAGAAACAAAAATATACCTGTACAGCATCCTTTTCACACCTTTGGAAGAGGGCATGGGTGTGAGGATGAAGGTGACAATTTGACAGATAAACAGGGGGATTTCAGATGATTCTGTGGAGTGTTTGATGTTGAGACGGGTTTCAGTTGTGGCTCAACACCGCACAATCTCTCTATTTTTTCTTTATTGGCTGTTTTCCACCTCTTGACATTTTCAAATTGTGGATTGATTGTCTGAGAATGAGTGGGCAGGAGAAGAAAAAGAGAAAGTAAGAGCTGATTCTGTAATGATGTTAGCGAAAGAGCACAAACAGTGAGAGAACGCTGTTTGATTACTACTGTTTAACTAGCTATTTAAAATCAATCAACACTTTAAAGTTGCAATTACATTAAAAATGATTAGAATTAAAGCAAAGAGTAGACTAAGAAAGATGAATGGTTTATTATGAAAGGACTACAGAGTGTGTGCAACCGATTAATGTTATAACACTGTAATAATGCTATAATAATACATTAATAATACTTTAATAAAATAGAATTCTTAAAACTTTTGCCCTACAACCAAAAAATGACAAATTTGTCAGCATTTTTTGGCAAAATGTATACATCTGCTTACACTTAATGATTATTTGCACCAGCTTGATTGTTACCACTGATTCTACATTGTAACTCTATGGCTATGAAAAGAATTAATCACCTCCTTAATATGTACCAAAACAGACCAATCAGAGGAAGCTGATGAGTGAGGGGAGGGGTTGGCCAGAGTGCAGAGGTAGCCATGCTGTAGCTCACCTACATTTAGTCCTCCACAGGTCGATGTCATTTCTGGGCAAAGCCACAATGCATGTGTGTGTCTGTTTGTACACTCACCCATATCAGGACGTGGCCTGAACCTCGAATGCACTGGTAAGTTTCTCTCACTCTCTCTCTTTCTTTTTCTCTCTCCCCTCCTTGTTAACTGAAAAAAACATCATAGATAGATTTCAAAAGCTTCCGTGCAAGTGTCACATTGATTGTCAGTCTGTTTGTGGAGAGTCTCAGTTTGCAGGCCTGGAGAGGATGTGTCATTGCTGAGAGGTTTTCCCCTTTTTACTCATGGGCCTCTCTCTTTATCTCTCTTTCTCTGTCTGGACCTAAACTGAGCACTTCATTTCAGCAGTTTTGTTTTTCAGTGAAGTCTGTAAGTTAGCGCCCTGCAAATGACCTTTTGCAAGAGCCCGATGCATAAGCTGTTAGTCACTATTCAGGAGACGAGCATAGAGCACTAGCAGTTGTGATCAGCAACACTATAATTATATGATCAGTACAAACGATTCACCGTTAATCGATGACTTGGCTTATTTGCATAGGGGTCAGATAGTAATCAAGGGCTTACACTGTAGGAAGTACACAACGGGTGAGTTAACTAGTTTCAACTTTCTGCCTAATAGCATAAGAAGCTGATAGATGATCGTGTAGAGCACACTTATGTATCTGTTATAGCCTTACCACTAACTGTTAACACATTTTGTGGCAGTAGATTGTAGTCACTGTAAATATGCGCACTTCTTCACTAACCATGAATCCGTTTCTTCTGATATAAACTAATAATTACAGTTAACGTGCACAGCTGTGAGATAGATTTGATGGGCCTGTAGAATAACTAGCAATGTATGTGACCTGAAGCGATAATCAACCGATGAAAGGCAGCAGGACATTTGCAACATATATAATTTTACATCGCTTATGTATACCTATATGCTTTCCAATATATAATTATCCATTGTCAGTGTATGTTATATCAACCATGGATAATTATAATTTTTGTTGATTTTTTCAGGCTTAAACTTTTACAACTTGATAAGTGGTTAATATTTTTCACATTTATATGTGGTCAGAAACATTATTGGAAGTCTTAAGCAACATACTGCAGAATTTCACAGAGTGCTATTCCAGTAACCCTGGGCTGACATATTAAGTTATAATTGAAGAATACGTTTATGTTTTGAAGTTTTGTTCAGAAGTGTCCTCATTTCCGTTTAACACTGTCGAGTCAACATGCCTACATAAAACCAAACCACTTTATTTCTCACTTATAGATCATTATTCCTCTGCGAGTATGAATATGAAGAATTACTCTTTAAGTAGGTGGAGAACCTACATGTTTATTAAAATCATAGAAATTTAAACGTAATTTGAATTTAAACTGCCATCTAGATTTCCACAAATCTCACATCCAACCACATTTTCAGGCAGATTGATACTTTTAAAATTATGCAAAAGGGCAAAATTTGTGGTATTAAGTTGGTGTTTCTTTGGAACACAATACTACTACTACTACTACTACTACTAATAATAATAATAATAATAATAATAATATTGATAACAGCAATTCTAATTTTAGTTGACTACCTGATTCATCATGACGACTACTGCCTACAGTAAGTTCAGAAGCTGCTTCGGAAGAAGCATCATTCGCGTATAACATTATTAGCATCTGCCAAACCAAAGTCTACATAATACTCCATATAAGTCCAAGCAAGTTTATTTCTCATTCACAGATCAGTACGTCTCAAAAGATATAATAACCAAAGAATTGCACTAAACATTGGTAAAGGCAATGTTCAGCGCTTAGCAGTGTATTTAGAATCACTCTCACAGTTCTCTGACCCTTTTTATATAAAAATTTTAAAAAGCAGCTCTTCACGTTTTCCCTGTATTGACTGTGCCTTCTCCAATTATGCTTGTTTCCCAACACTATTAGAAAAAAAGTTCCATGACTTGTAACAATAGCAGTGATTCTTTCAAGAACCATACTTCAGGTTTTCCATCCCCCTTTTTAAGGGTGTGCACTGGACTTACAGTGTATTCTGAAACACAGGCACTTCTTTACAGTGAGGGGACACTTTTGGTTTGTTATTTACGATACTTCTAGTGCATATATTCATTTCAAATTTAGACACAACATATTCTGACTTTTTGACTGTACTTATGGATATAAACAAAAAGTATGTGTTCTTGAGCATAATAAAGATATGTTTGAAAACAAAATGCACAGAGAAAAAAACCTCCCACGGTAAATTTACCAGGGAAGGAGAAAACCTTTTGAACTTACAATGAACGGTTATTTTTTAAAACAATTCTGGATCATTTGCTTTGGACAATTCACCATCAACTGTTCACACAATGTAAAAGATGGATACTGTTTTGAAACTTGGAAAAAAGTCCAAGTCAAAAATGGAGATTACATCAAAAGATTACATCATTTCAATGCTACTGCAAAAAAATACATTCAAATTGCATGTGGTGTCATTATAAAAGACAATGCCATTGGTTGGGAAGATTTCACCCAACAGGTAGCAATCATGGTAAAGGTGAAGGAGGTTCCTCAGGTTCTCAGGAACAACACTATTAACCCCTTAATCCAAGGTTTATTACATTTTATGGCTTATTATTCAGTAACTAAAGGGACTTAGGTGCAAACTGGTTGAGCTATTCCTAGGTTACAGAAGTGGGTAATAAAACTTTGGGCCTGCTGGCAGGCACTGGCAATTTTAGGGGGGTTAAACAATGCTCAAATGCAAAAAGCTACAGAGCCATAGCAAAAATCTTAAACATCCCAGTCAGTACAACTGGTATGATGGCATTGTCACTGTTCAAAAAAAAAAACAAACAAAAAAAAAAACAAAAACCTTTAACTCCATTTTTGTTGCTTTTCATTTTTCTACATCATTTGAACACACAGCAGTCGACCTGTGTGTATAGACAAATAGTAATGCTTTTAAAACCTCTTTCTATTAATTTACATTAAAAGTTAAGAATGTTTTTGTCTTTTTCTGTAAAGTTACTATTTTGTAGATACTTGTTTTATGGACAGCTACAATATGCAAGTGAGAAGTGTACTGAACCACAAATAATTGCCCTCGTCCACCTTTGTTTAAGCTTATAAAACTGTTAAAAGACATCACATACGTAAATCTAAGGTCTATGCACTGGAAGTACATTAAATAATGAAAATAAAAGTGTCTTGAATTATTGGTTTCTCTCACTGTATTAGTTGTTTCACAACTATTCATGTCTGGTTAGCTGACGTACATGGCTGACATAAGACTACTAGCATAACGCTACACTTTTCTAACGGAATGTTCCATGTCTGACGTACGACATAAGCTGTATTTTTTTGGGTAATCATTTGCAAAAATTTGGTAGCATTTTAAGCAACTTAATTCCAACTAGTTCATCATGTTTAATATCCACACCTATACACATGTTGCTGGCAGTAACTACAATCCCTAAACTATAACTGTAACCAGGCATGAAGTCATTAGCACATATGTCACATTTGTGGTAAATTTACTTTTACAAGTAATGCAATCTAAAGGCCTATGTTTTGTGTTAAATTCGGTGTAGTCAAATATATTTTAAATGAAATGATGATGCTTATGCTTTCCTTTATGCGGTTTCTGCTATAAGAAAACACAAAATCATCTACAAGATGAATGCGTGTCGTTTATACTTTATTCGCTCTTTGAAGTCTTTGCAAAACAGTGGAACAGTGTATTGATGAACATTTAGGTCGCCCAGATTTTACCGTTCAGTAACCTGCAAAATGATTAGGTTACCACTAGGCTGTAGCAGTGAGGATTAAAGGGTTAAGTCAATTTAGCATCAATTCCAGTCATTTGGAAAATGACCTCTATCAGTCACCACATCTACTTTCCACCCAATCTGTCATCATCACAACCAGACTGAGGGGGAGTGATCATATCATTAATATACACTCACACGCATGTTTGGCAGCCTATAAGACATCCTTTCCTCAAAAACAGCTTTTACTAAACAGACATTCATTGAGACTACTGTAGTGTACAGAGCATGACGGAAAACAAATTGTTCGCTCATCTTAGCTTGGCGGAGAATCGGTCAGGATAGACCTCTGGCTATTGCTCCATGGAGTCTGTAGCTCCAAATGTCACATGTTTTAGGAGTACATTTTCCAAGAGATAGATTCTCAGATAAAGCAAATGTTATTTATTTAACCCCTTAAATGGCCAGGGCCCACAAGGGTGCCCGAGGTTTTATTAAACACTTCTTTAACCTAAAAATAGCTCAGCCAGTTTGCATTGAAGTCCCTGTAGTTACTGGATAATAAGCCTTAATATGTAATATGCCTGAGATTTTAAGGGGTTAAAAGAAGCATATAAGTAGTAATACAAATCACTTTAATTGTCAATTGTTATTCTTTATACAAAATGTACTATTAATCGCAGCTTTGAGCATGAAAAATCTTCTCACCTCGACTCAAACTTAAAACTAATTTGCCTCTGTTTTCCAGAAATAGATCATATGGCAGTGTTGCAAGTTCTCCGTAATTCTGTGACGTATTGCCCCGTAATCAAACGATGTACCACTCACCACATCACACTGTTACTACAGTAGATGTATATCTTAACCAACCTACTGTATCACTTTGATACTGTTGTTGTTGATCAAACAAACTTGCAGCTTTGTCTTATGAGAAGCTGCGTACAGGCATTAGTCACAGTTTCACATTCTAAGGAGGTCTGTGGCTTCAGCTTGAGCTTTAGGGCAAAATTTCAAAGATGATGCAAAACGCGAAAGTCATTCTCCGGCTGACGAGCAGACATACACCTCCTACAGTCTGTTTTATTCAGATGACACGCATCGTAATCTTTGCGAAATGGCCAAGAGTTCCACTTAAACAGACACAGCAGACTTTCACAGTGTCGTTTAGTATGTTGGCTGGCAGTCTATGTAGGGTAAAGGTGCTATGACGCTAACCTCTTGTGTAGGGGCGTTTCGGTACCAGTCGACTGTTTAAAAGTTACTGTGGTGCTTCTGTACTTTTTACATTAATGATGGAGCTGAAAAATGTGTATCAGATGACTTACATGTGGTTTGGGTGCCATTACCAGGCTGCATTAAAAAAAAAAAAAAAACAATACAGGCAGTGATAAATGACTTCAGCCTACATGACCTTTCCACACAGTGGAAACTATCCAGTGACAAGACCTGTCTGCATTCCTCTGCTTGCATGTCCATGTTTCTAATACATATATTCATGTATTTGTAAAATGTGTGGGATTGAAGGAGATCAACCAAAGACCCTCTTTGTGCGTTACATGTAACATTTCGAAAGTATGACCTCCTTTAGTGTACGATACCATCATTATAATTGTATGCAAATTGATTAGCACTGATGTGGGTGATGATAAAGGCCTTCGGGGTACCGTCTTTGTCAGCCATGGATGGAAAAATCTCATCAGAACAGCTCAACTAAAACCATGGAAGATCTAGAAATTAATGTTGCTCATTTGCATTTGTCCTTGAGTCCACACATATATGTGAATGTTCTGGGATTCTTAATACATTATTTTAAAACAGTAGATTAGACTCATTTGGGCTGCTTTAATTTTTACTTAATTTAGGAGGAGAAATGTCACCGACAGCACACAATTAATTTAGGAACTAAATTAATAGGTCCTACGTTTAGCTAATGAAACAAACTATGCGAGGAATGTAAACTGGATATAACAGCACCACTGGTAAGTCATAGGAAAACATTAGCTCTAATGATTTATTTTCATGTTTTTAAAGAATAAAACATACCTTTGTCTATATCGTCATTGCCGTAACAAATATTTGCATCTTCATTTTTTGTAATTTTTTATACTTTTTTCGCATAATTTGAGAACTCCAACAGAAACAGTTCAAAATAACTTTCATCTCATTACATTTACTTCCATTCAAAGTTACCCCAGGTTTTCACCCAATCTGATGTGTATTCGTGTATTCGAGTGTATTCGAGGTGTTCTACCGTATTATGTATTGTCGCTGTGCAAAGAAAAACAAGTATCTTAAAAATAGTAACTTTACAGGAGAAGGCAAAAACACTCTTACCTTTACCTTAACTTAGCTGTAAGTTAATGGAAAAAGATTTTATTCCAAGTAATTTTAGAGCAATTCTATTGGTCCAATCATCATGAAATTTTCACACAATGTAAACGACAGCAGTGTCTTAAAATGATATAGAAAAATAAAAATGAACTAAAATGGAGATACATGGTTTTCTTTGCACAGCGACAATATATAAAACAGAAAACACATCTAAATATGATATTTTTCTGTAAATCGCTGTAGCCGGAAGAAAATGTGGTATCTCCATTTTTGTCGTTTTTCAGTTTTTGAAAATGCTTGTTGCCCTTTACGTAGTGTGTAAATTTCAGGAAGAACGGACCAAAGGATTCTGCCCAAAAAGACTTGGAGAAAAGTCCGGTTCCATAGATTTACATTAAAAGTATCTTTTCTGTATCATCTTGGAGATACAAGGTTTTCTTCCGACAACAGGAAAGAGATTAGCACACGATTTCTATTTATTTGCTAAGTGTAACGCGCTGGAAAAAAACAAAACATAAAAAGTAAATGTGCCACAATTTTCTGCACATACCAAATTTGATGTTTGTTTTTCTGATTATGTTCAATTCAGCAAATAAACAGTATTTGTGCATTACAATATAAAGAAGTGTGTTTTTTTGTAGAGGATGTGTTGACGTATTTTCACTTAGAAAATCAACAAAATATATCATATGACCAGTCCGTACTTTTGCATATGATTGTGCGTGTGCATGTATGCATTATGGAGTAAAAAAAAATATAAAAAATGATCAATTATTTTACAAGTTATTTACTGATTGACTTCTTTGATTATGAAGTTTTATTATTTAAGTATTTAGTCTATCTGGGCATCCTTGGCTTTATAGTTGTCAGCATTAAGGCCCGTTAGTTGCTTTCTTAAAAATCCGTGGGTAAAATAGGGTTGTTTTTAAGTGATGGCATTGAAGAACCGCTTTGGGTTCACTAGAAAAGAAATTCAATGGATGATGATGATAAAATGTGTAAGTGTGAAGAACTTTTTAATGTATTTTAACATAATGTAACAATGTAATGGTTCTATATATTTCTTCATTTGCCTCTTCATTACAACTCTCCTCATCTCTTTTGTTTTCTTTTCATCAGGTTGAATGGAGATTCCCAGCACATGGTCCATCCTGAACACCTTTCCCAGTGTACCTCTTCCACCCCACTGTTCCTCTTCCATTCTCAGCTATCCCCTCATTCCAGAGTGAGTTGAGATGATCCGTATTCACAACCCCCACCATTTGCCCTACTTTTGTCAGGCAGAAACATTCCTGCGGGAAGGTACTCTATGTGACACCGTCCTCATGGTGGATGGTCACGTTTTCAAAGCTCATGCCTTGGTGCTAGCCTGGGTCAGCAAGAACCTTGAGCGGCAGCTAACCAGTCAAAATCCAGGCACAGGCTATCACTGTAGTGTTAATAATGTTTCTCCCCACACGCTTAAGCAAATCCTGGACTATGTGTACAGTAAATGGGTGGACATCCCTGAAGGGGATCTTCCAGAGCTTCTGAGGGGAGCTCAGCATCTGGAGATTCAGTCACTTGTGGAGCAGTGTCAGATAGTGGAGGTGGAGATCCTAGAAAGGGTTAAAGATACAGAGCTAAGGCTGTCCCCCAATGTTGATATAGGGCATTGTGATTCAGAGGCATGCAAGAAAATCCCCTCTTCTGATGAGGCATCCCCCATCAGTTCTTCTTTAGATTCGCCACCTGTGACACACTCTGACCATGAAAGGTCACAGCGTGTCTCTAGTCCATCACCTCCCCCACCACAGAAGCCCCCCTTGTCCATGGTCGTTCCACCTACTGCAACTTCCAGAGAGGTCACAGGCTCCAGTTTGTCCACATCACAAGGCCCATCCTCCACACTCCACTGGCCACCACTAAACCCTTCACGCCGGATGGTCCTTAGTTATAGAGACCTCATGGCGGTCCACACCTTTCGGGCCTCCCAGCATATGGTTGCCTGTTCCTATCCCACTCCCATGTACCCCTTCTTTCACCGCTCCCTCCAGCCCCAGATGCCTACCTCTCTGCTGAGCTACCCTGGCCTAGTACATCCCTACCATCTTCTCCGCCCCGGACCTCTGGCCTTGGATAGTCCAACAGGGCAAGGCCTCAAGGGGAAGAACGATTCCATCAGTGCAGCGCTGGCAGGAGCAGCACAGGACAGAGAAAGGTAAGACACAAGGAAATGCAATATTGTTGCTTCATTACTAATGTCATCACTGTCATATCAAAACTGTTTTAAAACTATTTGAAAACGACCGCTCTCCTTAACATTGTGGGCGCATTTTTTATGAATGGACCAATAGAAATGATCCAAGATAAATTTTAATAAAATCTCCTTCATTAACATATATAAAAGTTAAGAGTGCTTTTTCCTTTCCATGAAGTTCCATTTCTAAGCGAGAGGTTTTGTTTTGACAGCAACGATATGCAACAATGGAAAATGTGAATTTAAATAGATTCGACAGTGTCAAAAGCACACATGGTAATATATCTGTATAAAAATATATAAAGGCACAGACCACCAGGTGTCTTTTAAACAAACATTATATCTAAAAAAACTTATTGTTTAAAAAAAAAACATACTTGAAATAGAGTAGATTCTAAAATCTGACTGGGTGAGCCACTTTAAGTTATTGTAAAATACTTCATATACCACACATATAACTGTACACATCAGATGAATTTTTTATTATTGCCTTATTAAAAACCATTGTACTGTTCCAGGTATAATCTTTGTGCATTATGTTGCTTTGCACCTATGGTCTACCACCAACAAACTAATTTGTTTAGTGGAAGAATTGTTCATAATGATTATTATTAATAATTATTAATAATGAATTATAATATGTATATCATTGCCAGCTTTCTGTCTGGCCTAACAACACTGCTTCACTGTGGTGAATCCAGCATAACGCATGGTCTCAAGTGGCTTAAAGCTCTATCAAAAACACTCAGCTAGACTATTATGGGAATCCTTTAAAGTCTTGAAATCTGCCACAATATTGATTCTTTGCAAACACAACCTTTGTTTCAAACCCTTAACCTTGTCAGACCCTGTTCACTTTCTACGGTGCTTATCTTAGGATTTTTGGAATTTGTCATCACTCAAATGCAAAAGATTTTTTGACTGGATGTTGTTAAGCCGAACGGAGAGTGCAACTTCTCACAGTCATGTTTTGTAAAGCATTTTTGTAAAGCAGCTTGCGATATCAGGGCAATGAGTCCTCTTTTTATTTTTTACTCATACTTTCACTTAAGTATAATTTCTCGGTACTTTTTCCACCCCTGCATAATGTTGGGTTGCATTAGTGTCCTGAATTATGCAATAAACTAGCGCTGAAAAGTTTATTAGTTATATAACATGAAATGGTGAACTTTTTCCACAGGATTTTTCCTAAGCATATTTTTTAAACTATTTATTTATTTTTTACTTTATATAAAGCTTCATTTGAAGCACCACTTCAGTTCCTGAAATGAATAACATTGAATGCAAAAATCATTGTAAATTTGTGTTTTCTTGAAATACTTAAAAATATTATAAAATAATACTGAAATGTTGCTTCCACATTATAACGAACATCAGAAATAAATATTTTTTTTATTTAGTTTTACCACACACTTCTATAACCTGAGAATAACTCAGTTTGCATTGTAGCCCAAGTAATTACTGAACAATAAGCCTTAATATGTAAAAGCCTGAGATTTTAAGGGTTTAAAAAGCTATTGAAGGGTTTCATTCCAAAACGTGTTATAGACCACTTTCAAAACATTTTATTGCTTTCATGATACACACTGTCAAGAGTGGATTTCACACATATACGAAACATCAAAACTTTATTAGACAAATACAAATCTTTTCCGTTATACATCAGCTGTAATCCATCTCAAAAACTCTATATTCAAAACTGTGACAGATGGATAGACAACATTTTGAAATGAAACGTTTCACTTACAAACAATTTTTTTATTGATTATCATATTGCATTCATGATAAGATTAGAGTATGATCTTATTTTTTGTGTCCCTCGTATGTAATTTGGATCTAAAGAGGTTAAGCTGTAAGCACTCATGTGTGGGCCCACACTTCAGTTCCCCACTCTCATAACTACGTAACTAGTAGTTTCGTAGTCGCTACAGTATATTTAGGTGAATAGTGAACCTTTAATAATAAGGGGTTACTTATTGACTGATAAACGGCTAACTTTCCAACAGACATTTTTTCCTTAACCACCTCTCCACCTACACAGTCTTATCACAGGTGGCATCTTAATACTTGACACTACTGTTTAATTAATGCTTTGCTATAATGGCGTAAATTTGATTAATAAATGTCACATGTCTACAGAAGGTATATTTTTTGTTATTTTTCAGCAAAAAAAAAAATAATAATAACCGGTGCTGGTGCTCTACCACATATGCTGAAACCTTTCATACACAGCAGCACTGTACGTCAGTGTGTGAGCCTTTTGCACTGTACTGCCCACTCGGTTCCTGTCTGTGGAGTGTTATGGAGCAAAAAGTGCTAATACTATCGGGATGGAGAAACAAAGGGGAGACCCCTTCATTCTCCCTCATTACTCAAACAACATACATGAAAGTTTCTTTTCATCTCCATTAGAGAACTGTGTGCTGTTTCAGTCTCATTTTTAGCCACCGTCTGCTTCTTACAAACACACACACGCTCCATTCATGCAGTCGTTTTCTGACATTTGCTTGCTGGCAAGTGAAACAATACCCAGCCCACTTGTGCAAAATGAACTGGAATGAACTTTGCACACACAGTCTGTCATAAACGAATCCTTGCTTTAAATATACCCAGCTTTGTTTCATATTCTCTAGCATTCATACTTGTAACAAACTGGAGTCCGTTAGTCAAACAGATAGCAGATAACCTGGCACAACTCTGCTCCTGTTCTATTTTAGGAGGAAGAGTAGGAAAGAATCAAGCCCACAGATCTTTTCTCCCTCCTTCTGTAGATTTTAATCTGTGTCCATCTTCATCTTGGCAGAGGAAACCATCGCCTTCTTGCTTCGCTTCCTGTCACACACATTCTCAAATGCTTTTTTTCCCCCCTTCATGCGATTTTTGCTCTTTTACTTTGAGACCCACAAAGAGAGGTGATGTAAGATCCCATGTAAGTGTGGCCGGATTTGAAGTTGTTTTGCAGTTTCACCAGACAATGTTTATAAATATATTTTTACATGGTTTTTTAATGTTTGGGCTTCTGCATGCATCGGTGTCCATGTACGTGCGCGTGGGCTGTATAAATTCACCTGGGAATTGTGGCAGTGATCATTTAAATGCATGTTAATAGGCATTGTGTATATTTTGCTGCTAATTTGCATTTTTAGTTGAATGCGTAATTCATGTATAAAATAATGGGCAAAAAAAAATTGGGATTCTGAATGGCATCAAAAACTAACTAATAAATAATAAATGGAACTGTGTCCTTTCAAACCCACGTAAATGTGTTTGTGTGTACATTTAGTTGATTCAGAGGCATGCAAGAATAGTTGATTCAGAGGCACGCTTCCATATTTCGTTAGATTTATTATTATTTTTTATTAATCTATGGGGTGAAAATGGGATCTGCAGTGATATAAAAAGCTCACAGTGGACAGTAGTCATCAGTAAGGCATGTATATTTAATGAATGAATGATAATGAATCATAATGAATGTCACTCAGTATAATGTAATTTTATTTTATAATGTAATTATGACTTGTAATAACTTTAGGAGGTTCTTTAAACTTTGGTTTAGGTTTGGTTTAAAGTCGTTCACACTAACACATTACATTTATAAAATTCTGCTGAAAGTTTCTTTAGAAAACCAAACGTGGACTGTAAAGGCTATAACTCCAAATGATTAGTTTTGGTTCCCCTGGACTTTGAGTGTATGTTGCTCAACTGCCACTGCTGACCAGCCCATACAATTTCAACAGTTCTGGTGGTGCTTTCCATAGTTCTGTCTCATTCTGGTACATACCCCACATAATAAATAGTAACAAAGGTCACTGATTTATTTATAGATTTATTTATTGGATTTATTTATGACATACATTGTGATGTATGCAGCTCTGTAAGCATGTGACACTGTGCTTTCTGATGATTGAGGTGCTATTGAGCAGTTGCATCCACCAGGTAAAATCTCTCAGTAACAAGCTGTAAGCAAATCACACGTTTTATCATTTCAATCATACAACTGTGTGGTGAAGTGTCAGACAGCCTTGCAGGACTCTGCTCTATTGTAGTTCTGCAGGTGCTGTGCATGTGTTTATCAGTAATAAGCATCAGATCCCAACAGTGCAAAACAGTGTTTGCAAAATGGTGCTGGGTTCAAAGGATTATTAGAATTGAAACACTTCAAATTGATTTATTTCCAAACTTCCGTGAGAGAGGGGCTTTCATGGCATTCTCACACTGGTCAGAATTAGCTGTGGTCATTCAAATACAAGGCCAAAGTGCTTCCTAGGCCAGCAGTGTAAACCACCTACACATGATTAGACACCTCAAATTCAGTGACCTATGTTGCCACTCTGAAAATTCTTCTGTGCCATGCAGTCAGTGGTAGAAGGTGTTGAACCATTTGACTCCAAGTTTACATAAAGCATATGTGTGTGTATATATGTGTGCACATTTAAGATGCTGAAAAAAAAATGTTAAGCCTTTACAAACTGTAAAGTTTCTCAATTTATATTGAACATAAGGAAATGGTATTGCAATGCTTAAGCTATCTTCTTATGTTCTTTCTGCAGGAAGCCAAAAGTGCAGTCAGAAAGGGAGATGCTTTGTAGACACTGCAGCAAGCCAGCTGTAGAAAACTCATGGAGGCAGGCATCCAGGACGGCACCTTCAGGTAAATTACTATACACACACACACACACACACACGCACAATAATGATGCTTCCTATATGCATCGGCTACACCAATCAGCCACAACATTAAAACTCCTTGTTTCTACACTCATTGTCAATGTTATCTGCACTGACGCTGACAAGGTGGTGGTGTGTTAGTGTGTGTTGCGCTGGTACAAGTGGATCAGACACAGCAGTGCTTATGAAGCTTTTAAAGACTGTCTCCCATCACCGTTCACTCTGTTAGACACTCCTACTTTGTCGGTCCACCCTGTAGATGTAAAGCCGGAGACGATAGCTCATCTGCTGCTGCACAGTTTGTGTTGATCACCCTCTAGTCCTTCATCAGTGGTCACAGGATGCTGCCCACAGGATGCTGTTGGCTTGATATTTTTGGTTAGTGGACTATTCTCAGTCCAGCAGTGACACTGAGGTGTTCAAAAACTTTAACAGCACTGCTCTATCTGATCAACTCATACCAGCGCAAAACACACTAACACACCACCACTACCTCAGTGTCACTGCAGTGCTGAGAATGACCCACCACCGAAATAATACCTGCTCTGCGGTGGTCTTGTGGGACTCCTGACCATTTAGGAACAGAATGAAAGGGGGCTAATAAAACATGCAGAGAAACAGAGCGAGTGCACTGTAATTGTAGAACTACAAAGTGCTTCTCTATGGTGCATGGAGCTGATAAAACAGACGAGGACTTAGATAGAAGGAGGTGGTTTTGGTTGATTGGATTGCGCAAAAGTCAGAGGCCAAAAGGCCAACAACAATTTATTCATTGTTCAGCTTCAGGAAAACATACATAAAATATCACAGAGAAAAGAAAATATATATATATATATATATATATATATATATATATATATATATATATGTGTGTGTGTGTATGCACAGCATTTAGCATGTCCATTCTTCCATTCTTTTACATACCTCCAAAGTTCAATCCTAGAAGAAGTTGGTTGCATTTTCTGCCTCTCATAATCCATAATCTCAAACACATTCAATGATTTAGAGATCTGGACTCCGGGGTGGCCAGTCTATTGTTCTGAGAACACCAGCAGCTGCTTTCTTTGATGTGTCTGTCTCCTTTTCTCAGTAACAGCGTCTTGACAGCTACACATCCTTTCAGACTCATAGTGTTGAGTTGTCTTCTCACAGTGGAAGGATGGAGAGAAACACCCGTAGAGCTGAAGCAGCTTAGTTTTCACCTCTCTCTCAAAGATGAAAGCTTTAAGTTCTTTTTATCTAATTGGAACAGTGTTGAAGGTCTTGCACAGTTGTTAGGAGTCCTCTATACCTTTAATCATTTTTTGAACTCCAGTTTCAGAAACTCACGTTTTTTCACTTATCTTTCTTTGACTTTCCTCGTCACTATCCCTTTTTTATGCAGGTGGATTATCTTATATCTAATCTCCTCAGAAATATCTCCTGACAAATGAATAACTTAGACTTGCTGACTGTTTTGACTGACAATTAAATAAATGAAAGAGTGAACCTGTTAGAAATTTGGACGAATTTGTTTTTTCTACAAAGTCAGGACATTTTTGTCCTGAAAATGAACAAAATACAAGCATGCACCAATTAGTTTAGCACCCGGGTAGAGAAATAGTCTTAATGTTGATATCTTGGCCTTCATTATATTCATTATGGCTTGACCTTTGTATAAAGATATTTACTATAGAAGTGAAGGTCACCAGATCACTTTGCATTATGTTGTTGTTAATGCATTGCCTGTAGACAGGTAGGTAGGTAGGTAGGTAGGTAGCTAGATAGATACCTAGATTGACAGATCGATAGATAGATAGATACATAGATAGATAGATAGATAGATAGATAGATACATAGATAGATAGATACCTAGATTGACAGATAGATAAATAGATAGATAGATACATAGATAGATAGATAGATAGATAGATAGATACGGGTCAAATGGAAAAAAAAGAAAGAGAACGTTGTGGCTCTCTCTTGTGGTACGTTGGTACGCTACTGCGGTCGCCTGGCAAAAGGAACTGTACAGTATGTTCTGCACTGCATGCTGATTGGCTGTACAGTGCACACAGTGTGGAAACATGCAGACGTCATCTTTCACTCTGCGTGTTTGTGAGAGAGAGATTGTAAAGCGTTATCGGATGCATGAATATCTTTTTGACAGTACAGAACAGAAAACAGTTCAGTGTTAGAGCGTTATCTTCCACAGCCATCTTATGCTTAGTATAATAAAGTGAAACAGTGCTGTTACAATTTATTAATGCACAACAGTGTCAGTGCATTCGCACCTTCCTTTTACTCAGCAAGAGAAAAACTTGGGGAAGCTAGTTGTCTCTGTTATTGCAGGGGTTTTTTATGTTTCTCTGTACAGCATCCTGTGTGTGGTGCGGTGGGGGGCGGTGGGAGGTAATGGGAGACAAAAAGACAGCAAGTCAGAGAAAGAGATAGAGGGAGAGATTGTGAGTTTGTACATTAGTAAATAGGTGATAGGCCACTAAAAGCTTTATGTCATTCTTGCAACTTGACTCAAACTTCCATATGTCCTTAGTTCTCACAAACTATCTAAACAAAGACAAAAGTGTTAACCACGCTTTTTTTCTTCATCTTTTGAGCTGTATGAGAGAGGATGTGGTGTATGTGTGTGTTTGTGTGTGTGTGTGTGTGTGTGTGTGTGTGTATGTATGTGTGTGTGTGTTTGTGTATGTATGTGTGTGTGTGTGTGTGTGTGTGTGTGTGTGTATGTGTGTGTGTGTGTGTACACGGCGAGCAGTACAGCAGGTTGCATGCTGAAAGTTGCCACAGGATGTACTTATCTAAAAATGGGCCCCTTCGCAGCATGATGGCAAAGTTGGGATGTCACTTAAGGCCTATAGTTTTTATCATATCTCACCCTCAAATCCACTTGTTACACTTGCTACCTATCTATCTGTGTACTTGTCTGTCTATCTATCTATCTATCTATCCACCTACCTACCTACTTACCTATCTACCTACCTACCTACATACCTACCTACATACCTATCTGTCTAGCTATAATGCAAACAACACATTCACCAATGTAAAGTGGGCTTCAAAAAGTTTTGGGCTTCAAAAGCAAACCTGGACATTCCTGTCCTCACTTTTGCAACCCATTAACCTTCTCAAATAGGTAAATAAATACACCAATAGGCTACCCAACCTCTGCCTGTGTAAAGGAAATAGGTCAGTTTAGTATGAAAATTAGTGTCATTTGTGTCTGTTAGTTCACTGACCACAGTGACCTGCTTATCTTTTCCCCTTGCATGCTGAAACAGACTGAAGTTATCAGCGGAAATGCACGTATTATTCTCGATTGGTAAATAAGAATGAAAGTGTCTTACAATGCGTTTAGAAGGTTTAGGTGGCCGTTCTGTTTTGTCCTGCGCATAGACAACAGACAATGTCATTTGCGTTTAACACATTTTTCTCATGAATGGAGTCACTGGCTGACCTGAAAGTCCACCATTAGAATAAAGTTCAACTGACCTCACACCAGAACCAAGTCTCACGGATGCTTCTCACATGCAGGCAGCTGAGTCTGCACGGTGGAAGGCTAATCGCCACTTCAAAGCACAGATAGATCTTAAAGGTCTCAGAAAGGTGAGCGTGTTGGTGCTAACAGGCGAAGGTGTAAACCAAAGTTGTGATCTGACCAGTCCATGTGTGAAAATGGAAAATGCACCAAACCAATGCTGTCTTGTGTCTATTTCTGTTGGTGTGATCTCACTGGTTCACTGACCATGAAAAGCTGACAAAAAAACAACGTTACTTGTCAAGTGTACCTTTCAAGCAGCACACAACTCCACATACCTAAATTTATTTTAAATTATATTCATTTCGCATGCTTGTGAAAGGCTGCACTGTTAAGATAGATCAAGTGTCTTTTACATTGTTGAGTAGTTGAGTTAATATAATAATGGAAGCAAATTCTAGTTTCCGATCTGCCAGGCTTCAACCAGCTTCAAGTAGCTACAATTACATCCAACTGTGTAGCATAGCATTTTAAACTGGACACTCAATATTATGTAGGAACTCTAAGCAGACACTACAGTGTCCTAATAGTGTTCTATAGTGCTCTAAAAGTGAGTTACGCTACCATTTCTCATTAATTCTTTGCCAGTGTTGTAAAGCTACTGTTCTGTAAAGCTTATTCAATCTCACAACAATAACTACTAAAGAATACAAGTGTGGGCGAAGCATGGATGGGTCAGTTGGTCAAACATCTTCTTGTATATTAAATTTACCATATGTCTATGTTGAGACTCAACACAACCTACCAGAAATTTTTATTACAAACAAAATGGTGAGAAATGGTGTTGAAACATGCCATATATTTTCTATCCATTTCTCTCTCCCTTTCTCTTTCTGTCACTTTCATTACTAGGTTCAGAGGAGACGTATCATGGGTGTAAGTTCTGTAAGAGAGGTATTCGGGAGAAGCGATCGCTGCGGTCACTCAGAAGGGGTCTCGGGGGTGAGAAACCCTACCAGTGCAAACACTGCAGCAAGAGATTCAGCCTGAAACACCAACTGGATACACATCTCAGAGTACACACAGGTACAAAATCTGAAAGTGGCCCTTATGTAATGAAATGACATGTAACAGGATATTATTCTACACATTTCTCTTGGTCGGTTTGTCATGACATTTTAAGACAAGGTAAAGAGCAGCTGGCTCTTTCAAATTTAGTCAAAATTAAAGTCAACAAAAACATAGATTAAGTAGCCTCAGCTGTTTTACTAGAAGCCATTTTATACTCTTACTTGAGTACATTTTTATCAAGAAATATAACTTTTCGATCATTATATTCTTCTACATTCTTTCAGTTTTATTTTAATCCAAAGCACACTTAGTGCATTTCGTTTATCCAGAGATTCTTCATCCTGATTGGTGCCTTTGTTGTCTGTTCAAACCCCGATACTTCTTACTTCTTTCAGATTATAGTGAGGTCACGTTTTAAATCACTATGTTTCGCCAGTTAAATGCAGCCAGTCACACGCATATGGTGAACTAGCAGTTGGGATGAAAGTGAAGCGTAGATTCCACAGCGTAACAGGACGACCACAATGGCTGAAACAGCGGGCGATTCTGCGGAGGGAGATCACCCCTGCATGGCCTCATCCTCATGTGTCTTCTATACAAGCTACCAAAAGCAGTGTTTGAATTACAGGGCGACAGAAAGTGCTCATCTGAAAGAGACTCGAGCTTAAAAACAATAATACTATCTGTGTATTGGGAGGTTATGAATACTGAACCATTATCTTATTTCTGCCAACACATTTCTGCTCTTGCTCTTCTACAGCAAAGTTGCCCGTGCATGTTGACATGAAATAAAGGTGCGTGCGAGTTCTCGTGTGTGTGAGCTCAGGTTCTGTCCTGTGGTCTATTTTATCTGCGTAAAAGGCAGGAAAACATTAGCTCTTCTCACTCTGATGCATGTATGGGTGTGTTAGTTGGTACTTTATATTTTTGGTTATTGCTAAATCGTTGTTAAGGTTTGGCAGTTGCCTTTGAACTTCATTTCAGAGAGTGCTGTGTGTGCATGAGTAGTCTTTTCACTAGATCCTTTCAAACTCTTACTCAAGTAAACACTTAGATTACTACTTTTCTTTCTATTTTATCAACATAATCTAATTTAGTAAGCATCATTTTAAAGTAGCAATAGTTATACATAGGCTGTTTAACCATGTCTGCATTTAATATGTTTACATAAAATACATCTTCTTCTATTGACAAGCACAAATCTGGTAACAGTTGAAAGTTTACACTTTACACACCAAATTACACTGTTTTTTTCAAGGAGCTGAGAGTGTAACTATAATGTTGCTGGAAATAACCGTGACCTCTTAGTGTTCAGTTGAGTTTGACCAGGAAAAATATGAAATCATGCAGTGCAGAAATGGGACTGCAGATGTTGTGCAGGACAGAAAGCCTGGTTGCCGTTTGCAGTATCATCAACCAATGGCTTTCGTTATGCTGCATTCTACTGTTTCTTATCAAACCTTGATTTTCATAGATCATAAAGAGAAACGGCTAAAGAATCAGCCCTTTGGTGAAGGACAGCATGTTTCAGAAGTCAGTTATTTTCTTCTACTGAGTCAAATAACCCCACAAGTGTGATGAGGCAAGATTTTCAGCTTTCTTCTAGCATGCACGGTGCACATAGCTAATCAGCACTTGGATCTCCTTAACTGAACAGCGAAACTGCAGAGCCTACACGTAATTACGTAAATCATGACAACTGCCAATGGAGTCTGTCTATCACCAATTGTGTTCAGATCAGTCTGCCATATTTTGAAAGCTATGAATGACTTTTACAGGGAATATAGTATCACTATGGAGGCTTATCTGATTCTTGTAAAGAACAGCTTTGCAGCTCACTACACAAGATGTCTTGCTAAAAGGAGATCCCTGTAGTTTCACATTTGAGCTCTGATACACACGCAGTACCAGTTTAAAAGTCTGGAATCACTTGTCATATCGATCACTTTTATATACATACACAAAATAAATAGGTTTCAATTTTATGAGCTAGACAATAAAAAAAATGGTATTTAATATGTTTTATTTGATATTTATATGACATGTCTGGGAACAAAGTAACTAACCTATAAATAATATACACTATATATAATAGTATACGTAATATTCACTTTATTATAATTTCATTCTTGATGCTACACAGCTTTTAATTGTTAACAGAGCTCTTAAACTACCAGGCCACAGGCCACACTCAGCCTGTGAGACAACTTTATATGACCTGTCACGTGTTTACAACTTACCCTTAGCACTTATTTATTTATTTATTTATTTATGAATGACTAATATTTAAATCTGATGGGTAGAGTTGATGCTGCAAGAATGATGTACACTGAGTGGGCATCAGTAATTTAGTTATAACTAACCTAGCTATTATTTTATTTATTTATTTATTTATTTATTTATTTAAAGATTTTTTATTTTGACTACAAATCACTCACAACAACATTACTCACACTTAGCAGGAGTCCCATATAATTCTACTGTTAAATGTAAGTTCACTTTATTCAACTGAATGCCAAAATATTTATTAAACACGCTGCCTAAGGGTCCCTAACCTGGGATAGCAACCTCCTTGGGGGATCCCGGTGTGGTTCCAGGAGGTTGCAAGAATGGTTCTACAAAGACAAATATTGTATAAAGTGCAAAGAAAACAATTTTGATGAGTGCAAGCAATTCGATGAATGCATGAATAGCTCCATAGGATATGGAAGGCAGGCTAAAGCCACCGATACACGAATGTGAGTAAAATTTGCCTGGCGAAAAAGCTAATTCACTTGAATGAGTAATTCCCTCCAAAACCACCTCAAATCAGGACCACTCATACCCGTCTGCCTTTTGCTCCACCACCGCGAAGAAAAAAGCAAAGCGGCAGTCTTGTATGCCCGTGGCTTCATGATGATTATGAATTTTGATTTGGTGAGCTTGTTACTGAGGGGGTCTTGTGGTTTGTGGCAAAGTGTTGGCTATAGAATGCAGGTCCAGTCATCCAATTAAATGAGTAGACTTATTATTTCATTATTTTTCTGTAATTTCTGTAATGTGTAAAATGCAGTGTGTAGGAGGTGAAATATTTAAGACCGCACTCTGAGGCGCACTCTGAAAAAGGTTAAGAAGCCCTGCTATGTATGTTATGTAGTTTAAAAGCTCACTTGGAAAACGGGACAATTTTTTCCCTGCATTTCTTAAAATCTTGAAGGAAAAAAAAACAACTTTTTTCACTAAATATACTAATTTTATAGCTTCTTACTCATTATTTAAAAACTGAAGTTCTACAGGACTAGCATTTTAGAATTATTTTATACATTATCTGTAACAAGGTGTTACATTATCAAAACATTGATTCCACACATGTGAAAGGTGATTCCAAACTTTTGAATTGTAGTGTATTTGAATCTGATCTTCAGCTGGCCAGCTGGAACCTCTATAAAGCATCATCATGCGTAGCCACGTTGACAGTTTTGTATGTGTATACATATTCAGACTTCATGCCATACCCTAAGGCCATGATTACACCTGCCATTATCATAAGAGGATCTTGGGTGATCCAATCATAAGCAGACAGCGCTAAGCGCAATTGTACCAATGTGAACGAGATCCAGTATGTCTCAGAGATCACCTTGGGAGGTGCATGAGTGTTGCTGTCAGAGACGGCCTAATTAAGTGTTATTACAGCACAGATGAAAAGCACAGATGTGGCTTCTTACTGCATTTCCTCTCCAGTTTGTTTAGAAGTTGCATTCATGTGATCACTGTCAGCTTATGATCAGGACTGGGTTGCGCCAAAAGTCCTTAGTTTACAGTAGTTAGTTTCGAACTAAACTTTTACTAAATGCGGTTGTACTACAAGTCATGTTTTGACTAGTAACAACTAACTAATGCCTACGTCCTTGCAGAGAACCAAGACTCAAAAGGGTAACCCATCCACCCAATAGCAAAACAGTAACACAACAAGATCAATATAAAAAGAGAACAGGATTTTACAATTAATATACAATAATGAATACAGAGAAAAAGAAAAAAAGCCAGTCTGTCATGGACAGAAATATCTAGATGAACTAATAATAACTGGTGACTACTGTTAGTGGCTCATCACTTGAGACAGATGTCACACCAAGTGTGAACAGGGCCTAGAATACCAACTCTCTGAATATACTTACTGCATATACTGGATACTTAAATAGAACTGCCAACCATCTTGCACCACCTTGCTGGTGTATAGTTAGAGACTGTGTCTGTTCATGCATTTCACTTGGTGTTAGCCATCCTCTGGTCCATCTAGTTCATCAATGGTCAGTTTTTGAATGGCCTATTCTAAACCTAGCAGTGACACTGATGTATGTAAGAACTCCAGCAACACTGCTGTGCCTGATACTAGCATCGCATACACTACCATGCCACTAAAACATTGGTGTTGGTGCCATAGTATCTGGTCAGTGGGGGTCCTATGCTGGTCCTTGCTAATAATGGATGAATTAGAGGGGTCATATAATCTATGCACCAAGCAGCCAGTAATTGTGAACCTACAAAATGCACTTATATTGTAGCTGTATATTATAAAATACCCAAAGAGTGTCTGTAAAAGGTAGGTCCTTCCAATAAACTGACCTTATCCTCATTAACTCCTTGCCTCGCTCTCCCCCCCCTACCCCTGTCTTTATTCAGGTGAGAAGCCTTTTGAGTGCAGGCTGTGTGGTCAGCGATCGCGTGACTACTCAGCCATGATCAAACACCTGCGTACACATGGTGGGGCCACACCCTACCAGTGCACCTTGTGCTTGGAGTTCTGCAGCAGCTTGGCCACCATGCAGAAGCACTTGAAGGGCCACCCCACCCAGGATTTTCCCCCAAACTGGAGCCTGAGCAGCACCTACCTCTACACCTGCCACACTTAAGTTCCAGCGCTGCCAGACAAGTCAAGCTCACTGTCTTACAGTGATGAAAGATGAAAAGATACATTATAACATAAATCTTATATTGTATTATATCATATTATATTATATATTACTTTTAATGGTTTTATTAAACATGGTTTTGTAAACGACGTAGCTTTCTATAATGCATCTCATATGTCTGCAAAGGTTAAAACAATTCTGAATACGTATCTCCTGAAGGACTGGTACTAAGAACAAGTAAAAACATCTCTCTCTCCATATCTCTCTCTCTCTCTCTCTCTCTCTCTCTCTCTCACACACACACACATTCCCTTGCCTACTTATAATGGATATTTAGAGTTGTGTTTAATTTCACATAAACCAGAAACTGCTCGCCCTTTTAAGATGTTTCATCACTGTACCAGTGTAAACAAAATTAGACCTAAGATTTCTAAAACATATACAGAATTTCATTCCTCATGTTGGCTGCTTTGAATCACTTTCCAGGCATTTGCATAAAATTAGGTGCCTTTTCAGTTTCTAAGTTTATGAAGGTGTCCTTCAATCTGGAATATGTTCTCATGCTATTATCGCTTTTATATATTTTCTTAACAGTGGCATAAAAGATATTAAAGCCACTCTTAGCACTGAGTTCATACCCGAGCCGTTTGTGGCTTGTACAGTTTATGAATTAAAGCATTATAATTACCTTCAGGAATAAATAAATAAATAAATAAATGAGTGGATGAATGAGTGGAAAAAATAAATGAATAAATACAAAGTGTGTTCTTGTTGCATTACATTTCTCTTTCTGGTTATGATTATTTGTTACTTGGCGCCCTCTTGTGGACAGATCAGTTTTCACAGTAAAACTCCATCCACCTGCAACAAACCATACAATCCATATGACAATCTCAGAATATAAAAGAATGGTAAAACATGATTTCAATATACAAGTACAGCACAGGCAAGATTGTACCCACCTTTATTTTGCAGTTGCCAGAATGCCAAAAGACTGAGTCTGACCAGCTCTAGCAAACTGGGGTTATTCTCTGTTACATTTTGTTGCCATGAACAATGTGACCTTCTCACTGTTACAGTTGTGAGTTATTAGCTTAATTTTGCCATACTATTCAAATAAAATGATGCAATTAAATATTTTATAACATACATTACACTTCTGACTTTTCTTTGTTTATTTCAAGATCAAGCAATGCCAAAAAATGGACAAATGTAGTGGATAGTTTTATATCCATGAACAAGACTGTATGCACAGTAATAAAATATCTACATACAGAAACAATTTGGTGTGGACTGAAAGTTTCGAATCCGCACTTTGAAATTCCTCCGCTTGTTTCGGAGCACTGCAAGTGAGAAACAATACAAACTGAACAGCACCACATTTTTGATGTCGCCAGTGATAACTATGACTTTTAATGGATAAGGTGTGTCTTGAGTCATCTTAAGTGGTTTCCTGGCACTTTTTCTCCCAGTTTCAGCATAAGAAAGCTTTCAGAACATAGGAGCAACTTCTCAGGAAGACCAGGAGTTGTATCCCATTTGAGGACTTCTACCCCAATGTGGGCTACGTCGTCAGTTAAGACAACTACTTCTAAACAGTTATGCTCTAGTTGCATAGCTGCCCAAGCATAGTTCCTTAGTGTGCTCAGCTGTGCATGCTGGTGAAACCAAGAAGAACAGCTGCCAGTTTTGATTAGCATAAATTTCAGTTACCCCCCCCAAACCAAGTTGTGGGTTTTTCAAAAGTTCCTTTGTGACAATGCGTACGGTAAAAAGCATTACAAATATATAGAACTGCATGCTGCAGGTAGACAGAGAGATATTTATACCCACTTTGCAGATGTGAAGCTCACACATCCAGGCCTTTGCACCTTAACCATTGCCTTCCGTCACTATGCTTCTTAAGGCCAATTTTAGCTTAGAGGATGTAGGTGGAGTCATGGTTACTAAGGCTTTCATCCTTAACCACAGAAAACTACAGCCATGTTCAGGTCCTCGTAACTGCCCTTTAAAAGTTTGTGCACCTGAAAATGTAAAATTCTGTTCTTGATAAGCTGCAGCTGAGCGATTTCTGCAGTGCTTTGTTGCACTTGGGTTAGCACAGATGCACAGTCTGTACAACAGGCTGTAGCTGTTACTGACTCATTGCGTTTTCTTGTCTGTGACCCCACTGCAACAATCTTTTGGCTTATATGGATGAACAATGCACTAATAAACATTGTCACTCTAATTCCAAATTTCTCTTTTCTTAATTTGAGCTGCACTCTTAAGAATATAGGCGCCAAAACGAGTTCTTTGGAGCGATTTCACAGACGACATCACTGATTCTTCAAAGAAATGTTTTTTGGAAATGAGATGTGTTTCTCAAAGTTTAAAAAGCCTCTACAGCAGACAGGTTCTTTATCAATTAAAGACATTTCCAGGAAATGTATGTCCAAACCGATATTCATTCTGAAACCTTTACATTTAAGACTGCTCATTGGTTCAAGTTGAGTTCTTCTACTTCTAACCTGGTTTGGCAGAGATGTCTTTTGCTCCAGTGACTAATCTGTCACAAATGAGTTCTTCTCTTAGTGTTCAAAATTCACAAATGAGTTTTTAGAGTTTATTACCCTGTTTCACTTTTACTCGTACTGAACACGTACCTCCCATAAAACATGTTCCAAGTGTGCTCTCCATGATTTTGTCAGGACTTGTCTGGCCTTATCCAACATATGCTTGTCAATGTTCATAAAATAAATATTATAAATGTAAATTATGGAAACGTTTCATCATAGAGCTAATATTATGGTGAAGAAAGCGTTCAAAGCAGTCAAAATTATTTATTTATTTATTAAATTATTTATTAATGTGGTTATAAGCCATACACTTGGAATACTACACTTTGTTTAACTACATTTAACATTGATTGATTGATAGTTTGTTATGAGACTTACTTTAAGCAATAAGCTCAGGTGGCAACAAAACACTAACAAAACACACTCACATCATCTTAATTATGAACCAAGAGAGCCAATTAAGCTGCTCCCTGTGTACTAGTAGCCTCAGGAGATTTATAACACAAATAACACTAATGGAAAGAAAGTTTCTTTTTTGTATTGTTTTGACCTCCTTTTATTTCTATACTTTTATTTCCTCTTCACACCATCAGAACACACCTCTGGAAAAAAGCCTAAAAACACAAGAGACCAATTAAAGTCCAATTATAATGGCTCCTTTTATTTCTGTCTTATGATTACTGTAAGCAATGATCCTCGTGTTGATAGACAGGCATGAGTGTTTTATTTATTTATTTATTTTACACCATTGTGAACCATTTTCAAGGAACGTCCAAGTTCGTCCATGTGCACTGCCAGTTATGGACATTTTCAGAGAAATAATTAGAGTCACTTGGGTCCTATTCACAGGTGGCTAAACAATAATTTGCTCAGAGGCCTGCAACACTAGTAATGACCAACACATGATTAAATTACGTTTTGTCTACAGAGCTCTGTAGTTCCTTGACCAGTTTGCTGACAGCTAATTGAAGGACCCTTGGTCCTCAGTCCCTGTAGGGCAAGAGTTTTTTTCAGCCCGTTACTGACATCATACAGATCAGAGGTCACCACAAAGGGCCAGTATGGCTGCAGGTTTTCGTTCTGATCAAGCAAAGCACACCTGATTCCACTTGTTTAATCAGTTGGCTCCAATCATCAAAGAACTAATTAGTTATATGAAAGGTGCTCCTGCCATGTGTAGATAAGGTCAAATCAAATGGAGCATAGTTATAATTCTACACCAATGCAGCTATCATAGCGTTAAGGTTCATAACACTGTATTTAAAGGTATTAGAATAAGTACAGTGCTGTGATAAAGTATTCCTCCTCATAAGTTCTTCTGTTTGTCACCCTTAACTTTTTCAGATCTTCAAACAAAATTTAACATCAGACAACGACAGCTTGAGCCATGTTTTAATGATAATTTCATTTAATGAGGAAAACATGTTATCCAACATCACTGGCCTTGTGGGGAAAAAGTAGCCTCTTTAATTATTCAATCAACCAATCAAACACTGACAGTTAATAACTGGGATGAATTAAACTAGGTACATTATGGCTTAATTACTTCTGTTTAATCTAAACTGTCCTTAAAAAGAAACTTTCCATCAATGTGTCTAAAAGGTCTGAACAAGCAGCACGCGTCCATGATCTGAAGCTCACTGTTGGGTTATGCAGGAAGATCCGAAGCATAAGAACGAGCCCAACTCTAAATGTCTCAATGAATAATTAATAAATAAATAAATAAATACACAGTTTTCAAGTGGCCTTGTCAAAATTCTGAACTGAACCCATTCGAGACCTTAAAAGGGCAGGTCCTGCTTGAGCGCCCTCCAATATGGCTGAATTAATCCAAAGTAACTGCAGTAAAGAGTTGGCCAAATTTCCCTTAGAGAAATATGAAAGACAGATCTCCAGTTACAGGAAACATTTGACTGCAGCTGCTACTGCTAAAGCTGGCACAGCTAGTTATTAAATCTACAGGGCAAATACTTTTTCACAGCACTGTAACTTCAGCCAGCTGTCGAAAACTGAAAACTGCGCTCGGCACCTATACCCACGTATCTCTGAGACCTTAACTGTCTTGGTCTTTTAAAGATTTACATCACCTGTGCATATTTATAGACTGCTTTCTTAAACCAACAATAACTGCTGTGGTTTTCCACCACTGCCTGCCGTGTCATTGGAGCTTGTGAGTTTGTGTGCAACAGGGCATTAAGAAGAGGCTCATTGGTAGTGCGCACTTCTGAATTTAATGACATTTGTTGTTGTTAATGTTGTTTATTGAGTTTGAGATTTGTTTTAAGCGCTTTATTGTTAAGGGGTGCGGGTTTAGTTAGCGCAGGCTAGTGTTTATCATAGGGAGAAAACATATGGCTAGAAGTGACCTGCCTTCTATTTCAGTTGCTTTTTAAGTGGCTTTTCTGTCGTGTTCCTTTAATATTGTGGCCTCACCTAACTCTC